TGCTGAATTCATTGAGACTTGAAACACATACTTGAAAAAAACTCTTGAATTAAGATGTTTTCCTTAATCAAGATCAAAATGAGTAAAGGTATGAGGATCCGGCCCAGTCAGATGCTATTATTTCTTTCAGGTATAACCAAGGGCCTGTCTCAGAAATACCTGTTGAGTGTAGTGACTAACTGTATAATCACCATGGCTCATACTGGATTAATGAGTGGGTCCAAATTGGGATGAGAACTAACAGGAAAAATAGTAATGTGTGGATGGGAGAGGTGGAGAGAAGCTGAGAGAGAAATTTCATTTGCCAAAACAGCAATAGATTGAATAAACCAAGCTATATTTATGTCAGTTTTCCAAGTTCAAAACATAATTCACACATTGCTTTGTTGCTATTAATTTTGTTTTGCCAGCTTATTAACTACATGTCTTTGATGAATATTTTAAAAAATAAAATAATGGCTATTACTCATATCAGTTGCTTTGTAGTGTTTCTGAAAGTTAAATGACTGGTAGCATTTATTCATTTCATAGTACGATGCTAAAAGTTTTGATATGGGATTTAAAAAATGTGATATTTGAAGTTAAAAGAAGACATCTTGATTAAAGCCAGAACAAATTGTTTGGCTGAGATTCAAACGCTGGTTCACATGCCTTTCCAAGCTTGTAGACTCACTTGTTTGCTTGCAAAAGCCCATATGCTTTCAATGGACAAGTCAAAAAAGCCATGCTACAGATTTGCTGACTAATTGAAGAGCAGAAAACTCCTTCAAGTGTGGGAGCCAATAGAATAGCTGAAACCCTGAGGGTGTGATAGAATTTTAGACATTAGAAATGAGAAAGGAGGCTCTTGTCCTTAAAACATGGCACAGAGATTTGAGAGATCTGAGTTCGGTTCTCAATTTTGCCAAAGACGACATATGACACTGAAGCAAATCACAATTTCTGCGTCAGGTTTTTTAACTGTAAATTTGGGATGATGTTGCTCCCCAATCTCTGCTTAACAGGAATGTTACAAAGATTGAAAGCTATTATGAGTCAAGTGATTTATTGAGTTAAAAGCTCTGTTAGATTACCTGTTCAAACTCAGAGAAGGCTGGCAACGATGGTCACTTAAGAGACTGCATTCAAACATTTGGTGCTTTCAGGTCAGTTCCAGTTAAATAACAGTGCAGGTGGAACTAAGCATTTTTCTTTGCAGCTTCTATATAAAGGTTACCATGCAAATGAGTGTAGTATTTTTAGGTGGGAATTTCCAAAACAGAGCAAAGGTTTATGTAGACACCTACAAGGCTGGTATATGAACAAAGTTCACAGGATGCAGGGATGTAGTAAAATCTTAGAACTCTTTCCTCCTCTCTAATCAAGTAAATAATGATGGTGTCATATGCAATCTGAAGAAATATGAGCTATGCCTTTC